CAAAAAAGTTAGTTTCGAGAAAAACGGTTTTAAAGGTTAGGAGACAATTGTAGTGAACAGGGACGCCACGTCACAAAATCGGCTGTATCTCCGAAAATAAATCGAATTTTAAAAAATCCTTCCAAGGTCATAGTTTTCAAAGTCTAAACTTTTAAAATATGCAAAAAAAAATCGATTTTTTTCAAAATCCTAGACCCTACCCCCTGTTTTAAGTAAATTGTTTCATTATGTTTGTTATTTTTTTTCTTTTTGTTTTTTTGTCGTTGATATTTGTAGACGAATATATCTTAAACGCATAACGCATATGGTACGCCTTGTCGTATAAGAAACACAGAATGTACTACAACTGTAAACACTAATGTAATACCTTTTAAAGGTATCTTTTTCGCAGAGCGCGAAATTTTTGTGATACAGTATGACACTTTTCAAGTTGTAAATTTACTTTCTTTATACAAAATGAAAAAGAAACGTGTTATACTCGTATACCCGAGGAAATAAATATAATTAAGGTTTTATTTAAACTGAAAATAAAGAGGTTATTTACGTCGTTAGTTGGATTTACGGCAAAAACTGAAACTTAAGGGCCGTTTGCACTAAATGAAAACAAATAAATTGAAATACCCTAATACCATATAGATAATTTATTATACTTACCTACTTTACATCTCGATACATATGTACATTTTGAAATATTTTAAAGGGGTAAGTAGGGTAATCTCGCCATTGAATTTTTTTTTTTTTCATAGACATTTTTAGTCTACAATAGAACTTTTTTCACATATCATGAGGTATATTGTGGAGTATATAAATTTTTTTTTTTTGAAATGTTTTGATGACATCTGTCTTAGAAATGGCTGGATGAATGAGATGCGTTTTTTCACTGGCGGACACGACCAAATTAAAAAAAAAAAAATACGTGAATGATTATCGTCCCCAGTAGATTTATGAAAACTGTCGATGAATAAAAAAGTAATTAACACTTTTTTTTTCTCCATGTATTTTTACATACATTTTTCCATAACATTGTCAATAAATTATAAAAAAAAAATATTATATGAATCTAGTGAGACTATAGCCAAGCGTTTTGTGCACATTTAAAATAAATTAAGCAGATCGGTTGAGCAGTTCGACTGGAATCATGTCGGCTAGTTTAAAAAAGTGTGTTTTGAGAAAAACGCGTTTAAAGTTTGAGTTGTGGACTCCGAGTGTTATTGTATTTGGGCCTTTTTCGAAACCTTCCACTAGTAAACTGGGTTTCTACATTAATTCTAGGGATATAAGGGAGCAAAAAATGCAAAAAAAAAATTGCTTTAATATTACCCTACTGACCCTTTAAAGTAAGAGAATCGTTCATTGTTACATACCATTTTTGCATGTTAATTCGTGACAACGATGTATTAATTAAATATTTCTTCGAAATCGCAATACGTATCTTACCAGATTCCACTTAAAATCGGGAGTTAAATGGCTTTATTTTAACTGAAAAATATATAATTAATATTTACGTGTAATGTATAATTACGCATTCATATTTCAGCAGAAGAATCGTTTGATTGGTAAGATGTCTAACGGCTTTCACTGATTTTCGGTGAAACTTATAAGCAGCCTTGTAGCGAGTACTGATACATATCTACGTAAACTCTTAACATTACATTTTAATATCGCGTTTATCCGCCACGTTCGCGAATATTAATCTGGAGGTCAAAAAGGGAAAATTATATTATATATAGTGAAGCATATTTTATTATTGACTTCTTGAAAAGCCGGAAAATCAACCATAAAAGGCTGGCGGGCTAAGTGTAGACGTGGTGAAATGGGCACCGAAGGCTGTGAACAAAATGGAATGAATGAAAATTGTTCTTACCGATGAAAACATCAAAAAAATTCGCAAAATAATTTTGAATGGCCGAAAAGAGGAAATATTCAGGCATTCTAAAGATATCAACTAAATATTTACCTTTTACACTCACGATTATTTGGGTATGAGAAAAGTCTTTGTAAATTCTTTGATGATTCGAAGTAATAATCCCTAGCTTTTGCGTCAATATTTGACAATAAATTAAACAAACAAGGTTGCGTTTCATGCCGCATGGAATAATTTTGATTCAAAAAAAAAGAAAACTCCTCAGCATTGCAACTTTGAAGGACGAAATCGCCAAAAATAGACTCATTTGAAGAAGAAGAGTATTTCATCAACACAACAACACAATACAGCGTGTCACAAGCCATTGCAAACGATAGAAAAAATTCATGTATTCCGCTTCGAAATGCTTCCGTACCCACGACATTCTCAACATTTGGCTCGTAGCGACTATTGCCCATTCTCAGACTTCAAAATAATGCTCGCTGGGAAGAAGTTTTCGAATGAAGAGAATATTGCTAAAGGTGAGGCCTATTTTGAAGCAAAAGCACAAATCGAACCACTATAATGGTATTGAAAAGTTGGGGGATCAATAAAATCAGTATATCATCCTTGAAGGGAACTATGTTGAGTCAATATGAATTGTACTGTGGTAAGCCGAGGAATTTTTAATATACCTATTATTTACTGATCACCTGCTTATGCAGAAGATAAACTTTTGGCCATTTTTAATTATTTAATTAAACGTAAATCATAAATAAAATGAACTTAAAAGTAATCGGTTGTATTGGAAGAAAATTTTGCAAAATCAAAGGCAGTATACTTGAAAATAAAATAAACGAATAACTGCTTGTATGGATGATAAGAGCATATTTTATATTTTTCCAATCTCAAAAGAATAAAAAATTAACCTGTATATTAATTTGAAGGATCATCTCAGTGTGACCGTCCAAAAAATCACTGATTTTCGCCATATATTTTTTATGTTTAAATTAACTAATCAGTCCGATTTTTTCATAAATAAATACATTCACGACAAACATAAAATATTGTTTTATATTTATTTATTGGGTGTATAATAATGAAATAAATTGTGGTAATGACACGTAAAAAAAAGGGACATGTACGATGTCCACGATTGCGGCCGCAATTCTGATCTAAAACGAATATTTTAAATCGATTATAAATCTAAAGGAAAGTCGTTATCGCGCTTTGGAAGATTTTTTGTTTTTGGAAATTTGACAACATGACGGCGGTTTGAACAAAAGGTATCAGTTTTGGTCCTTTTTATCGAGAGTTTTTCATAGGAAAATATAGGAAGATTTCAAAAACACAAAAAAACTTCCATAGCACGATAGAGAATAACGTTAAAAAAGTTCTTTCGAAATTGGAATTTGATTTTAGAGAGTGGAAACAATTTTGAAAAACACCTTTCTGAGATTGGATTCGCTAAAGATTGGATTCGCTATGATCCTCACTCTGCTTTCTTTCTACAAGAAACGCTGTAGCGACCATAATAATTTGATTTCGACTTCAAAATTTGATAGAATGCTTATTACAGTGTATATTATGCGATAATAAAAAATTGATTTGTCGAAAACTTCACACTGAGACGATCTCTTAATTTAGATATCTAAGAAATGGACGAATTTTCCATAATTCTTAACAGGTAACTCTGCCTTAAAAATCGATGGCTCAAAACCGGTTTTAGACTCATAGTTTCATAGCAAAGTAGTTGAGAAGGAGCTGTAAGATGCTTTTCGTAGTTTTACGCATAAGTATTTTATTTTAAAGCTAAATCTATCGTCTGAGTTTTTCTCAGCAGTATATTAAACACATATAGATGAGCTTTCAAAAATATACAAAAATTGCGTGAATGACTAACATACTAAACATTAATGAACAGTTGTATTTAGATGTATTTCATCGGTGGTAGTAACTGTTAAGGGGTCAGCAGGGTAATTTAAAAAAAAAAAATTTTTTTGTTTCTGTTCCTTTATATCTTCAGAATTAAGGAAAGAAAGCCACTTTACCATTGAAAGGTTTCAAAAAAAATCCAAAAATAATAATACTGCTCGACGTTCGGAGCGGCTCGGCATGTACATCTGACATTTTAAACGCGTTTTTCTCAAACACACACATTTTAAACTGCCGGACAAGATTCCGGTCGAACTACTCAACCGATTTCCTTAATTTTTATTTTTTTTAATGTTAAAAAATGCTTGGCTATCGCCTCTGTTAGATTTATTGACAATGTTAAGATAAAATTTATGTAAAAAAAACATGGGATAAAATTAAAAAAAAACGTTAATTACTTTATATTTATCAAAAAAATTTTTTTTTTTCAAGATTCTAGTAAGGATGATAACCACTCACGTACTTTTTAAGAATAAATCGGGTTTTTGTGTTTCAGATGATCCAGTAAAAAAGCGCATCTCATTCACCCAGCAATTTCTCCGACAGATGTCATCAAAAAATTCCGAACAAATTTGTGTATACACTCCACGATATACCTCATGATATGTGAAAAAAGTTCTATTGTAGAATAAAAATTTCTACGAAAAAAAAAATTTAAAAAAGGTCATATTTCTCTACTGACCCCTTAACTATTATTGATGCTTGACCATTCATCCCATCTACATTTCAGAACTTCTCATAGCGCACAGCAACAAAATATATAATATTAATTTTTACCTAAATACTTACGAAAAAATATTGAAATATAGTTCAGGTCATTGAAATAATATATATGTAAATAGAAAGTTTCCAAATGTAAATTCCTTTAATTTTTTTTTTTTTTTTTTTTTTTTTTT